GTGGGTGTCCTCACCACAGGGGCAGAGGGACGCGCTGTGTGTGCATGTGTGCACATGTGAGTGGACATGGGTGTGGTGTGCGTATGTGAGTGTACACGTGTATGTGTGCAAGATCCTCTGAAGACAAAACAGACTGTCCAGGGGATGTGCTGATATATTAACTGACCGACCAAGACAAAGGCACCCACCAATACCAGGAAGACTTACCCAGCTCCGCTGTGAATGGGGGTCTTCCACGAGTCAGCCTCTCAGGTGATCAGATGCAAGAGTGGCCACAGTTGAGTAGCAGCACACAGGACATCGCTGCTTTCTGTTTGGGAACAGAATCTCCCCACACGTTCTCTCCTCCAAAAGATGGTCAGTTGCTCCTTCTGGGATTTTAGAGATGGCAAGACACGGACGTTTGCTCTACGAGCTAAGAGCTCCAGGCCAGTTTAAAAGCTTGATCTGGGGGAGCAAGGAGACCTGGTTTGGGTCCTCCAGCACATCCTCTGGGGAAGGACCCTTCCCCGCACACCCTTAGATGTGTTGAAAGTTGTCACAGGGACACATCCCCAGCGGAGGCCTCCTGCGTTTCTCACTGAAGGGTGGGTGCTGGGTGCTGCATCAACAAGAAGTGAAGTTCCCAGCCTCTCTCTTCTCCCCAGCTTCTCTTTCCTCCATGAGCCCGGGCCCTCCAGCAGACAGGAGTCTGAGGCTGGCACGTGCCAGTTCCTGGGTCCCTCTGACCAAGAGCCTTTCCGGGGAGACCACCCTGGAGCCCCATCAGTCGCCAGGTCTTGGGGAGACCGTTACAGTCCAGGAGTCGGGGTCCAGGCTGGGTGGGGGTGGCTTCTCATGCTATTCCCTTCCAGGAAGAGGATGGCTCTCCCTTGTTGCCTCCTGATGACTGGGCAGAGTTGGTTTCATCCCTTAGAAGTTAACCAGGCATGTCCTTCTGTGCTGACCTCCTCCAGAAACCATGTCCCCACGAGCAGGCTTATCACTTACCCCTTGCCGCAGTACTGCTTCGTAACACGCAGCCCCAAATCGCGGTGGCCTAAAGCAGTATGCATGTATTTAGCACGTGAGTCTGCAGGTCAAATTCAGGCTGAGAGGTTCTTCTGGTCACGGTTGGGCTTGCTCGCATGTTGGGGTCAGCTGGCTGTCAACGGGGAGCTCTTGCGTCGGGGGAGGGCTGTGGTGATGGTGCCACCCATGCACCGTTCATCCTTCCCAGCCGTGGCAAAGGCAAAGGTGCCAGGCAGAACCACACAAACACCTTTCCAAG